AGTGCATTATATACAGGTGGGGAAGAGGGGATCCAGGGAATCCAGAGGTCCACGAGGAAAGACAGGGGAACGGGGTCCTCACTCTCGCACACAGCTCCACACGCTCGCTTCCAGTCAGCTCACTCCACACGGAAAACGCACACGCCACACTGCAACTGCCACATTCATGAACGGGGTCTCAGGACGGGGCACAGAGAATCTCTATACAAAGACAAATTGTCAATACCAAACAAAGCATGAAGAGAAATCAAAATATTTCGAAAACTAAAATTCCACTAACGAATGTTGCACAATAGTCCAGCGACGAAGGACTCACAGCTGCTGCCTTAAGAAGCGGCTGGTAAACAGGATGATGAATCTCCGGGGAGTAATTGCTTGCAGGTGTGAGGACCAGCCCATTATGAGCTTTGCCTACATTTATGCCTGGTGAGATCAGACATCGCCATTTCCGATGTGAACAGAAAACACCTACATGTGTTAGACTGTAAATCTCCCCTAAGGCTCGATTTATGCTTAGTGCCAAGTCCCTAAACCACAGAAGTCTACTCTCTGCACTGGTAAGTGTTGTGGCATTTGTTACAACAACTCTCTTGTTATGCCTGTTTTAAATATGACTCACATCAGCTCTTTGGAACAACTGGAAGCACTCTTGATTTTCCTACATGGCCTTTCAGGATAGTCATTAGATAATGGACATAACAGTTTTAAGGCCAGAGCCACCAAACTCTTGGCAGGTCACAGGTATATAGATTTTACTGATGAAATTGCTTTTTTTCCCTCAGTATTAGTTAAGTATTTGTGAGAAGATGTGACCTATATCGATACATGCTTTGTGCGGTCAGCTTTGTATTCTACTAAGAGAAAGATCTTAGAGATATGTGTCCTCATTAGGGATTTGTGTTGGTTTGTGGGGTTTTAGTCTCAGATGTATATTGTTAAATGGTGATTATGAGACAGTGTGTTTCAGCTATTTTACAGAGTAAAATGAAAGTAATGAGTTTGTAGAATGAATTACTTCTTCCCAGCACTAACTAAGTAACGTAATGTGTAATGTGTAATAATTACTTTTTTGAGTAACGATTCCAACACTGATCACAACAATGGTGGGAATGAGCTCAACAAACATGCACAAATATTTGACCCACAACATAATAACAGAATCGGAATCATTAAATTCTTATCAGCTCCCTCCCTGATCGCACTGCACTAAAATCAGATAATCTCACTCCTGTTATCTGCCATCTTAACTAAAATGCTCGCTATTTATAGGGTTGAGTGGGAAAATTTGTTGCAGTAGCATGAGTATTATCATCAGTTGTTTCATGACTAGTTTTAGTAACATCCCCTGGTCTGTTTTGGGGGTTTTTTTTAGGTATGAGTACAGCTCCTGAGGTGGTTGTGGCAACTCACTGCGGTCTGAGAGTCTTTGGCCTCTCTTTGATCACCAACAAGGTAGTACACATCCGAGTCACTGATCAACAACTGATTAGCTATAACTGTGATCATTTACAAAGCTGCAGGCTACAAAAGTAACTCTGTTACAAAGACTCTGTGATATCTCACTTTGCTTCAGGTGGTGAAGAGTTACGAGGACACGGAAAGCGTGAACCACGAGGGCGTCTTGGAGATCGGCCGGCTGCGCTCTCACACCGTGCAGCAGCTGGTGACTGAGCTGATCGACAGGATGGAGATCAATAACAACGACAACATTAATAAATCTATCTGAAAAACGTACAATCACACAAAAACACATGAAGATTGTGTACATATTTCACTGGTGCATTCACAACATTTTTAGCACTTCTTCCTGTTTTGTTTTTGCTGTAATTAAACTTTATTTATATCAACATGGTGCCTAATATTCTCCATCAGGGTAAATCAGAGTGTAAGTATTCTTTTATGATATTTGACTTTAAATCCTAAAACTTTATATACCAATAACCGCTGTGTTTGAAGGTGCTTTAATATGAAAAACATGAGACACAGTTTTCTTTTTGTATTATTGTCTTGCACATTTTTGTTGTAGAATTGTATGTAATGTAAAGTATTAGTAAAGTATGTCACAGATTTCCTGATTGATGTTAATCGGATTAAACAAACTGCCACATCTAAC